GGGCATTTACCAGACAGGGAGAGCTACTCATTGCATGATGGGAAATGTAGGATCCAGCATTTTGGAGCCTGACCCATATCAGGGATTTAAAATCAGGATAATCAGGATATGTTAATCTCTGTTGCTTCTATTTTGATCATTCTTTTTTTTAAATATTGTCTCTTGGGAGTCCTCAAACTATTTGAAAATGAAATACTGAATTGTCGTTTAAATGACATTGAATCTTTATTACTGCTTTAAATTTAAATATGGCTGCAACTAACATTATATTATTATCGATTAATCTGCCCATTGTTTTCTTAATTAGTTGTTTTATAAATGTCAATGTTGACGTGTTCAGATTCCTTTTCTCAGTCCAAAACCCAAACATGTTTTATTATATTAAATATGACAAAGAAAACCATAAAATCCTCACATTTGAGAAGCCAAAACCAGTATATTTTTAGCACTTTTTGCTTGAAAAATATTTGCAGATGAATTTTTGGTTTATAGACTACAGTTAACAACTCAGTCAGCTACAATGTTAGTAGTATAACTTAAGGACATCCACCTTGTGTGCTCTGAAAATGAGCTTGGTGATCAACACTATAAGAAGGTGAATACTCCTCCTATTGTCCAGGCTCTGTGGAGCATTAAACACTGGGGGCTATGTCAGGAATGGACCTCCCCTCTCTCTCTTTCTCTGCCTTTGCCAGACTCTCCCCAGTCACCAGACTTTAGAGTAGAGTCACTCAGGCGTAGACTGTTTACTTTGAGCTCTGCAGGCACTCACACACAGCTTATGCACCCTCGTACAGCAAGGGTGTGCACAGACATACGCACAAACCTGCTGTGCATTCTCCATCTGGTAGCAGGTAGTTGATCTTTTAAGCATCGCTCATTTCAGTGTCTCTATAAGTAATGTGGAATTATGTTAAAAGACTTCTGTTACTGCTGTCACATTATCACATAAAAAGCGAGTGTTAACTCTCTTGTATTTAAGCACTGCTAAAGCTTTACAGAGCTCACCATTGTGCTTCAATTCCAGTCTGTTTCCTTTGCCCACACCTACAGCACTTACAGATGTGGCTCCCACAGGAATTAAAATGTAACCTACGCTAACAGACTGCTAGTTATAGTGTAACACAAAGCACCTTGACTGGCAATGAGGTTAGATTAGTGAATCAAAGTCAGCCGTCGTCTTTCCTAAAAACATTCTTAGGATTCCAGACGCTCCCTTTACACTTGGCATTGCGCGTGGTTTGCATTTGTATTAATAAGTACAGATTAAGAGGAAACTGAGAACTAGGGCAGCGTTACATGTAAAGCCTACACATGCAGGAAAACTGTCCACACAGGCAGTAAACAAAAAGTGAGCAGACTAATTAAAATATGACAAACTGGAGACTAAAAATACAGCAAAACAAATTAATTCCCCTGTACTAACATAACAACAAGCAACCAGGTTTGCAGACCATGTTGTACACTGGACATCAAAAGAATGATCTGAAGGTTAAAAAAAACAGCTGCTCCTGAGCTATGTGGGAAAATCTTTTAAAAGAAGATGATATGATCTTATGTTCTAACTGTTGTCAAGGTGCTCTACCCTCTGATCCACTGATCACTGGTCACACAGAAAGCCCCCAGGTGTGAATATGTTCCTTGGTTAAAGTTCAACAAAGGCTCAGTTGTTTTACACGTTCAGCAACCAGTAGCCAAGCACTGCTTTGTGACAACTAGCTAACCTGGTGCTCTCTCGCTCTCTTGTCACAAGGAATGGCTGTGTCAACAGAGACAGAAATGTCGCCAAACGGGCTATTCTGCTATTACTCTTCCTTTTCTTCTTACCAAGCAGGCTCCTAATTTTCCTCTGGCCCTGTTCTTGCAGCCACCTCTGCCTCCTACCACACGTCTGATGTTCAACTTTCTCCCACAGTTTCCCTCGCACTTTGATATCTGAACAAGAAGACAAACTACTTTGATAGTAGGGCCGGGTGATTTGGTTGAAATCAGTGTCAGCTGAAATGATAAGTTGATTAATCAATAAACAGAGAAATAATTGAAAACTATTTTGACAATTGATATCATTGTTTATGTAATTTTTCAGGCAAGAATTCTAAACTTTCTCTTGTTCCAGCCTCTAAAAATTAGCATTTCCTGCTTTTCTCTGTTTTATATCCATGTGAATTGAATATCTCTGGGATTTGGACTGCTGGACAAAACAAACAATTAGGAGGCCTTAATGAATATACTTCTGAAATAAGTTTATAAATCATTATATGTCAAATATCAATATATGCACAATCATATAATATAATCAATATAAAATGATCAGTACAACTGTGTTTGACTATTACACCAGATGTAACTCTTCGCACCTGCAAAACACAACTTTAATGAACTACCTGTGTTTTCAAGTATAATTTAGCTAACAGAATTTTGTAAAACACACACTATATGAACACATGGCTCCAATAAAAGTCAATAAATGTTAACTATCACTAAGCACATACTACACAACACATATATTTGCAATACCTAGCTTTAGTATTTGGGTGAGTATAGTACATAGCCTACACAAGAGAAAAGCCAGACTATGCACGGTATTCTAGTTATTGTGGGCTGTGTTGGTGAGGTAGGTGCAGGTTCTCTTGTGTAAAACACATTGTAATTCTAGCCCCTCATTAAAGGTAGGCTACATGTTTACACCTGAAAGTGAGCTTGAAGTGTGGCCCACATCTTAGGTCAAGACCAGGTAATTTCTGGAGCAATTTATTATTTTAAAGTAACTGAAAAAGATCAAGGAACACAAGCAGCTGGTGAGTTATCACTTGTAAACTATAATGTTGGCGAGAATATGACGCTTATCTCACTTTTCATTACAGCCACGTACCCTCTAACCGACACAAAGCCTTCAGTGTATTTTCTTTGCAGACGTGGGATTATTCACGCAGCTTGACACTTAAATGACGCTCAAATGTACATCAATATGTCAAATAAAGATGCCTCAGATGGGAGAAACCATTGTAGCAGGGTAACCTCTTAAGCACCTGTGTGCTCCTGGATTAATTGCGTCACACCCACCTATCCGGTCAGTCAGTATCGTTGCGCGTCGAAACCACCACGGGGGTTGTTTACTCGAGCCAGAGGTAACACGAGCAGAGGTAAGGTAAATGTAAACATCCGACGCACCTGCCTCCCAAAGAGACGCAGTCGCATCATATTTGAAACCTTTACCTTCAATAATAACCCCTCATATCCTCTTTACGCAGCGCAGTCAGATCCAATTATAGAAAGAAGCGGGCACACACACACACACACACACACACACACACACACACACACACACACACAGAGAGCTGCAACCAAACAACAAAAGGCTTTTCCCCCGATGCTTGTTTTCGGTCATTATCGTGAGCAGGAAAAGCTGAGCATGGAAAGACCGCTGCCAAATCTCAAAGCCACAGGTGTCCATCTCTGCTTATCCAAATATTGTAAAATGCCCGCTCAGCAAAACTAGGGCTTACAGTAGGTATCGCTCAGACTCTCAGCACTTTCCCCACACAAGTCAATGTACAGAAAATACTCACACTATGATACTTATTCTACTGCACCTGTAAAGATGATCCAAAACACCAAATGTTCCCCCCTCCTCAGTCCGGGCTCCCGTGTCAGGGTTTACAGCAGCAGCAGCAGCAGCAGCAGCAGCTCTGTACTGTGTTTGTGGGATGAGAAGATGTTAGTCAATGAACTGAGGGCATGAGGAAATTCTCCCCCGCTGCCAGTGCAACCTGTTGCCAGCACATCGGATAGTCATCGTCCCGCCTCAGGACCGACTTCATTGGTGGGAGGGTCCCCGAGAGGCGGTGCCTGCCACGGGGCTCAGTTTCATCTCTGTACAGGGAGTGTATGACCCACTTCCACACTGGTGTTAATGGAAATCATTTCTCAATAATTTTTTTAAAATGTTTGCATGCAAGTATTGGGCCAAAAATCATATCCACCAATACAGATAACGAGATAAACTGAACCCTGCTGGGGCAAAACGAATTAACTATTAATAAGGAAAAGGCAATTCCAGTTAGTTAAACATTGTAATTTCGATTTTATAGCTAAACTGTAGTCTGTATGGCCCTTAAACTGCATTTGTAATGGTATCATTGACCTGACATTAAAAAATTTACAGCAAGTCACTCAGCTTTGACAATAAATTATCAGCTTATCTTAATATATCAACAGGCTAATATCAGATAAATGGAAGTATCATTTATGCATTTGTGTGAACTGTTTGTAAAGACCTTCACACAATTTCTGAAATATCCAAATTAGGGCAGGGCAATAAAACAATTATAAAACGATTATTATAGCAATATAATTTTCCTTAATGACAATATAACAGATGTTCAGTAAATGTTTTAATTCATTTGAATCACTAACAAATTAGCACTTAATTTTTCTTTTAAGATATTTATTTTTGTAGAGGAAAAGGGACAGAACAAATATTTTACTTTATTGTTCACATGCATATTTCTTAAAAAAAGATTTTATCATAATTATGAATGTTCTACTTCAGATTTGTTGAGTGATCCACTGTTTGACATCAAGTGTTTGTTCTGACCATGACGAAAAGTTTAAAGCCATACTTAACCATGATAATTATCGTTGATATCGAATGATATGAAATCTTTTACTGTTAAGATTTTTGTTAAGATATCGCCCAGCCCTAATCCAAATGATCTCCTAATAATTTATTGAAGTATTTGGAAAGAACTACGTAATTTGCTACTAATTCGTTTTGAGATGTAATGAGTTTAAGAGCTCAAGTTTGATTTCCAGAGGCATGTACTTGAAATAATAATGTTACAAAATGTCTCATTTTTTCAAATGAATTTCACTATAAACTGAGAAGAAAACCTTCTTCAGCAAATCACTGACGATGGTTTAACACAATGACTTAAAACCCCCAGTAAATAAAGTTCAAATGTACCGTAATTGAACATTATCACAAAGAAATTACATTATCTGTTTCATTAGGTTTTCCAACCTTCATTTTAATACAACAATTAGCAAACAAATAAAAAAAATGTGAATAAAAACAGACATGGACAAGTACAAAAAAATCTGTCTTTACTTCAGAGTTCAGTACCTTTCCCTTCCCCACCTGGTGTGGGACTTTCTGGTTCCTCCAGGTTACACCAGGAGGCGCCAGAGCAGAGCAAGAGCACAGCACAAATACCAGTACAAAATCAAAAAAGGAACAGCTGAGGGAGCAAGAAAAGAAAGGCAGCTCGGACATTCAGTAAGGAAAAATAAGTAAAGAGAGGAGGAAGAATAGTTATAAACACCTTATACCGTGACAGAAGTGTGAAAAATGGGTATTTTTCGCTCATAAGTTATTTGGTCTACTTCAAGGCCTCTTGCAGTGCAGAGGCCAGAATATAAACATAAACAGATCAGACAGTTACTGCATTGGTTCACATGCAACCCCCTCCCCTCTTTAAAAAATAATAACAAAAAGGACTATGCACATCTGATATGACATGATGTCACTACTTGCTATGCCAACACCATCCAAAAGCACTGATTTCACAATTCATGTGTACTGCAGAGATAAAAACAAACTGTTGACTCAAATGTACTGTATAAAAACCAAAAACGTCATACTGTCTACAACCAAGACACATAAGTTCAACTTATTATTTTGTTCATTGGTCAACTCTCTGGCATGTTCACAACTGATGTCTTGACAAATGTTTTGTCCAAATATTTACAAGCATTTTGGTGGTAAAATCCTCTCTGCGAGGTGTGGATGAAATCTCAGCCCGGGTCTCCTTTGGATTAATCAGCACTGGGTACAAAACAACATTTACAAATACAGGGTCAAAGTGTGTATATGTATGCATGTGTGTGGGAAATGACAAAAATAACTCATGAATTGATGTTTTGCCACAGTTATTTGTTTCACAATATGCTTTTCTTTCACTTGCTTGCTGTGGCTAACAATGTGATAGGGTACTGCTAAAATTAAGTATTTTGATGACAAATAAAGCTGTGAATCAAATAATGAACGTCCCTTTTAGATTTCCAGGCACTCTTTCAATATTTCTTTTTACATTTTAAAGATTTCATATATCATGTCTGTTTGAATCTAAAGCCACGAAAATCAGAGAACAACGTTGATGCTTTAAATCACTGTACCAGTACACAGTAGGGGAATATTTCAACATTACTTTCCCCGTCTACCGTGGGTTTTTGTGTATGTGTTAAATATCATCATACTCAAGTTGTGCACAAGTGTGGAGAGTCAATCCCAGTCAGTCAGTGCAGGAGCCTCCGTGCCAGTCAGTCACAAAGTGTGCGAGGTAGTGTGTTGGTGTCAGTGCTTTGCTGGTTGGCAGGCTAGATGTTTGAAGGATTGTGTACTTTAACATTCATCGTGATGGGGGGGTAAACAATTGCCTAGAGTCACTCAAAGTGCTAGATAAGCATGAATGTCGATGAGTGTGTTTCTCTGTGTAGTGAACAAGTAAAGGGCTAGTCAAGAGAAAGATATCTGGGCAAGTATCTGACATGACACACAGGTCATTCAATTAGATCAGAGCAAACAATGTCTTTATTTGTCCCTATGCGTCGCACCTCTGCGCTGCTGTTTTGTCATCCACTCCTCAACTCTCATTAGCTGCAACCAGCTGGCCTAATCCCTGGCGCACAAACACAGCCTGGATGTCCTTGGTCTTGATGCAGAAGTCACAGGCCCAAACAGCAGAGCTCTCTCGAGTCAGCAGCCCATACGCTGGCTCTGTCAGGCCTGTGCAGTCACGGTGGAACCAACGTTGGCACGACGCCTCGCACAGGATGGCGTCCTGATCGTCATGCACCTCCGCCATACAGAGGCCACAAGGGAAGACCATTCCAGGGCCACCGAGTTTTCCAGGGCCAGAACCAGGCCCAGCTGAAGGGGCAGCGGGACCGGGGGGCAGGGGAGACTGGGTGTTCGGGGTGGAAGTGGAGTTAGAGGGGGGATTAGGGTTGCTGCCAGGAGTGTTGCCTCCGTTGTTGTTGGTCATGTTGTTCTGACCTGAATTGGGGGCTGCATTTGACATGGTACCAGCAGCACCAGGAGTGTTGTTCTGTTGGTTGTAAGGGGTGGAGCCTGGGGCAGAGTTAGGTGGAGTGGATTGCTGCTGCTGGGTAGAGCTGTTAGAGTTGGGGGTGTTTGTATTGCTGGGGGGTTGTAGCTGACTGGGTGGTGGATGCTGGGACTGGCCTGATCCATTCATGGGACCAGTAGGAGAAGAGTTGGGGTTGGGCTGGGGTGGTGCCGAAGGAGGCTGACCAGGTGTATTGGCGTTGGGCTGCTGGACATCAGGGTGGCCTGGGAAGCCTCCCCCTGACTGTGGTGGGCCAGAGTTAGGAGGAGGGCCAGGAGTGGTATTGTTTGGAGGGGGGCCGTTGGGATTTAAGTTAAGCTGTTGCTGCTGCTGCTGCTGCTGCTGCGGCCCAGGCGGTGCACCTCCTCCACCAAAGTTCTTTCCATCATCGTTGCCTGGTCCTGGCGGACTGGGGCCAGGGTAGGGGCCATCTTGTGAGGGAGGAAACTGTCCTTGAGGGGGCATACCTGGCAACCCTCCCACCATGTTTCCTCCAGGGCCACCACCCATGCCACCCATCATGTTCATCCCAGGACCCATGCCTCCTCCCATGGGAGGCAAGGGGCCATGCGGGGGCCCTCTGGGGCCTCCACCACCGGGCAAAGGTGGGCTGTTAAATGGGTGTCCACCCTGTCCGTGCTGCTGCTGTGGAGGCATGCCAAACCGAGGGTGGGGTGGTCCTCCTCCACCGGGACCTCCCATACCCCCTGGAGACAACATGGGATTGAATCCTGGCACAGGGTGCATGGGTGGACTGAAGTTTGGTGGCATATTGAACTGAGAAGGGCCACCAGGCGGGAATCCACCTCCACCCCCTCCTCCCCCACTGCCGCCCCCACCGCCACCTCCAAAGCCAGGCATTCCTCCAAAGCCTAGCTGGTGGTGAGGTCCAGCATTGGATGGAGGACCGAACGGTGGCCTCCGTCCAGGCTGCCCGCCTCCTGGGCCTCCCATGAAGCCCATGCCACCGCCCATTCTGCTTCCGCCTCCATACCCACCTCCTCCGCCTGCACCTGGGCTGGGAAGAAATGGAGCACTACCTGGTCCACCTGTCCCACTAGGTCGGGGTGGAGGCCCAAAGTCATCATCAAAGGGGTTGGAGGCGACCAGGTGGTCCACCATGGGGGTTGGGGGAGGTGCAAACTCAGTGAGGTGGGAGAACCCCGCCGCCTAAAACAAAGGAGAAGAAAATACAGACTAAATGTTGCTTCTATGAGACCAGATCATTTAAGTTCTTATTGTAGTAGTCTTGGAGGTTCACTTGATTTTCTTTAGGTAGAAAATCTGATTTCCAAAAACCACTATTACCTGAGAGGTGGATTTCCTTGCCTTCTTCTTCTCCGGGCTCTTCATCTGTGAAGCTGAAAATATGGAGGGAAGGGGTGGAGAGAGGGAAATATAATATTAGCCAAAATAAAAATAAGCCTCCATATCTCATGCAATTGGTCCACCACCAATCAAGTGCAGCATCACATTTGGATTGGCCAATACCCCTTAGTGACAGAGTGGAGCAGCTTTAGACCTAGGGCCTCTTTTTCAAGTCCAACAGTTGGGATGGATTCAATGATGGGACATAGACTGGCATGAGGACAAGATGCTGAACATCCAGGCTTTATCATCACCAAGGTTATGAAGCCTTGAATCGCAAATGACCCAGGCAGACCAAATGACCCAGGCGAGAGGGAAAGAGGCCGCAAACAGAGGCAGAAGAGGTAAGGTCAATGAGGGAGACAGGAAAAGACGAAGACATGAGAACGAGGAAACGGGAGTTGAAGGTACATTTATAGCAAGATAGACATGAACCCCGTTCACAGATCCACTCTGTGAGAAACAGCCACCACCGGAGACAGTCGTGAAGTTTACATATGGGGGAGGCGAGAAGGGTTTGCTAACAGCACCAGTGCAGCCCATTGCAGCGCAGTAATGGATGATTCCGATCTGATTGGGAGATGGGTGAAATTAATTCCTACCTTTGCTTCGTTTTCCTTGTCCCGCCAGTAGTCTCCCCGATTCGGCAGCCATTTAGTTAAAATGACTGTCGGTGAAGTGGCATATCACCGTTCATATGCAAGAAAAAAAAAGTTAAAAATGACGACGTCTTGAAGGCTTTGATCCGAGTAGGTGGAATCTGCCTTCAGGTCATGTCAATAACGCTAAAATGGTTATCATCACAGCAATAACTAACACGTATGGGAAGCTAGATTATATTATAACGCCGGCCCAGGTCCTCAAAGTCCTTTCCAGCTGCAAATCTTTCGCCACGGTGTCTGTCACGCCGGGATTTGGTCACCAAATAAACGTCAGGTAAAAATTGAGCTGGTTTCACGTTTTTTTTTTTAGCACAAGTTCATCCTGTTGCAATCCAGTTTCTACTAACTAGTGGTTGCTTGCTATCTGGCTCGGCTGCCAGCAAAAGCAAGTTACACAGCACCCAACCTCCCTCTCTAAAAAATGATCACTTACAGATGTGTAGCCAAGAACTCGACCAGCTAGCTAATGCAAGCTAGTTACTACCTTGGCTAACTAGATAGCCACGTTACTCAATGTGGCTAGCTAGCAACGTTGAGATTTCACCCAGTAGCCGTTAACACCGGAACATTAACCGAAATTGTGTTTATCTTTCTACATTCATTTGTGAAATGTGCATTTAATTTCACTTGTCACAGCATTTGAAAGATAAAGCAATCGATCATGTTTTGAAAACTGTTGTTTACTATGCTAACATTAGCTTGCTAGCTAACGTTAGCATGCCACTGAAGATAGCTAGCCATCTTGCAGACTGTCTTGGAAGCAAACTGTACCCTTTCTCCGTTGCTTGCTCTGCTGTCCTTTAAATTGAAACTCTCTGGTGTGTCATTGCCAGCAAACCAGTCCTCACTCGGTGTATGCGTGTTGATCCACCATTCAACTATAATTCATTCAAAAACGCAAATTTTGCCATAATTATCATGGCCTTCTATCGACACCGGACAAAGAGGGACAAGCAGGAGTATCGCGCACCATGGAAGGTTACATCTCATCGCAAAAACGGGGGTGTTGACAAGTATACTTCCTGAACATGAAAAGCATTTTCAGATAATTACTAAACACAGGTTGTATTGTATAATGCACAACATTATAATATTATATTTTGAAAAAAAATACCAGCATCACCGTCGTTCACAGTATTTATTTCATTTTTTACAATTAGTGTCATACCTTTCACTGGTATATGTGGAGCGGCTCAGAGCAAACCATTTCCTAAAGATACCCTGTACAATTAAAGCAAGGGTGGACATTAATTAGACAGTCAATTAGGCACATTATCAAGTGACATTATGATTCATATTGAATTAACATCCAACATCAAAATATTAATATAGCTGCCAACCTCAATTTAAGTCGTTATCTGAAAGAACTTTAGCATGAATGAGATAGGCAAATGTGCACATATATATATGGTGTTTGTATGTAATCTATTAATAGGTTTTTATAGAAATATCAGAATTGTAGGAGGCTTATATACTGTTTTTTTCTCAATAGTCATTTGGATAATACAGTTCAAAACAGACACTGCATTAATTGTAAAGCCAAGGAATAAAAAAGGTGTCACTATCCTTGGTACCTGGGTATAGGTCAGTCTAAACTAGAATACTGAACTCCCCAAATGGTTATCCTACCCTGGTGTATACAATTAAAACTTGTCCCCGCCCACCTGGTCCTGCCTCCCCCCTCTTCACTTCAGATACCCCCTTCCCTCTATTCTCCAGGCACAGTCAGAAGCCTCATTGCAACACTCTGGGCATGGGACCACATATGAGGAGCAGGAAGAACTTTGCCTTCTTTCGGGTCTTCCCTCTTCGAAGACATCTTTTCATCCAAAGGGAATAAACTTTTCCTCTAAGCAGAAGAAGGAACAGGTGTCAGAAAATCACAAATGGGATAAAGTAGTGGTATTTGTTTTTTTTCCTTTCTTTTGCCAAATAGGCATGTTGCCTGTAAGTTTTTACTTACAAACATTTTTTAAAGTTGGAGGTTTAAGAATAGAGCCATTGACTTTTGAAAGTGTTTATGAATTGCTTTAAACTGAGGTGTGGAGATCCTGTTGTCCACACAGGCTTTATCCTAGAATAAAGCAACGGAAGTCTTTTGTTAGAAAGGCTGTGATTTCTAAAGGTGCATCTCTGGGTCCCTGGTGTATGGCGCTAAAAGGTGTCGGAGCAGGCACAGAGGTTTATTGGTTTCCATCTGAGTTACAATGGCAAAGTGGTTCAAGGAGTTCCCCATCAATCTGAAGAATGGTACCGACAGGATCCGGTCAGCCTCAGAATCAGGGTCACAACCAAGAGCCAACAAACCCGGACTGGTGGCCAGCATTAGTACCAAAACAACAGGCTCCAAAACGGGCAAAACCTCCTCTGCTGACAGCACAGGCGGAGGTGGTGGAGGAGTTGGGTCTCTCCTGTCCGGAAGAAACCGCAAAAACTCTGCCATAGAGTTGGGTAGAAATAGTGTGAGCTCCCCGAAAGATGGAAAAGTTTGGGACAACCTCCTGTCAGGGAAAAGTCGCAAAAACTCCAAAACTGAGCCAGTGTTTGAGGAGCAGCACAGACCTCTGAAAAGCTCTGCCAATGCTTACATCAACAGGCTGATTAGAGTGGACAAACTGGACAAAAGCCTCAACTTCGCCACCATCACCGGTCAACCTGAAGCAGAGAAACCAGCCCAGTGCAAGGCAGAAACAGTGAGTAACCTATACAACTTCAGCCCAAAAAGATCAAATTAACTTTTAACATTATGATGTTGTAGATGAGACTCACTATTAGTAAGTTTCTTGACTTTTATATGGTGTCAGATGTCATTTGTTGGAGGCTTTTAGGATAAAAGATTAGATTTGGCACCAAATATTTAATGTTTGTCATATTTTCATTCACTCACCCGAGATTATATTTTTTTGCATATTTTTAGATACTTAGTTTGAGTGTTCATCTTTTAAAATCTGATAAAGCTTTATTGTTGTTATAACAAGGAACCCTTATCGACAGTGGTTGTACAGTACATGTTGTACTACTAATTAAGTACATTTCAGAAGGAAATATTGCACCCTTTACTCTAGTACAGCTACAGACAGCTACTACTTTACTTTTCACAGTACATTCAGTAGAAAACCTATTATTAGTTTATAAATATGATACAATGTTAAGAATTACTTACCATACAGAAGCAGTTGAAATGAGCTTTACTGCAAATCAGATGTTAATATATCATCAAACAACTGTGGTGAAATGTTTGCATAATGAGTACCTTTACTTTTGGTACTTCAGCTATATTTTGATGACAATACTTTTATAATTACTTACATTATGTTATTAGCATTCATTCACATACTTTAAGTAAAAGATGAATACTTCTTCCACCACTGATTATCATCATCTGATGATATAATATTATGATACTCAAACATAACAATGATATTGTTGTCGCTATTACTTAACTGAGCATTTCCACAGTGTGTTATTGCTGCTTATACACAAGTAAACCACTGCTGCTTGATCTTTGGTATTTGGATGTGAAGTTAAACATAATTAATTTTTATCTCTGGCAACTCTAATTCTGGCAGCAGTGCAACACCCTCTACTTAAAAATAAATAAAAATGTGTTGTCATCAATACTATTGACAATGAAGTAGAAATGACCCAGTCCAAGCTCTGAAAAGTGATATTAATGTTTCAGTTGCTCCCTTCCCTTTGTCTCCGCTCTATCCATTGTGTCCATTCCTCTCAGACTGTCTTTCTATCTCTCTTTCTCTTCCTCTGCACCCCTTGCCCTTACAACCCATCCGCCTTGAATACAAAGCAGTGGTCGGACATGAGGCTTTACCTTCCTCTCCTGTATGTGATCTGGCTCAGTATAAACCTCCTTTCACACCCCTCCCTCCACCTCGTCCCTGTCTTTCAGGGGATTCAGGCCCCGCTGGTGAAGGCTATCATGTTATAAAAAGCAGCGTGTTATTTGACACTCAGGCGCTAACCCAAGTCCCCTCCAGCCTGGCTTTGACAAAAAAGGAGAAAGATAGAGAAGTCAGGGATAGTGATAGTGGAGCCACGGTGAGAAAAAAGACAGATAAAAGGGGAGAAGAATAAAATGGGAGTTTTATATTTCAGAAAGGATCTCAAATTCTTATTTACAGCAGCCTCCATGTTTGATTGGTCAAATTACTGTGTGTTATATGTCTACCTCTTAGTTTAAAAAAAATCTGTGTTGTCGTCTGCATCTGTTCCACTAAACCTCTCTAAATCTAACACCTTAACAAATAGATGACGGATGTCAAACATCTGCTACTTTATTCAAACACCAACATTTCTTTGGTGAAGGAACACAACTGGCAGTGATTAGAGAGGAGCAGTTTCATTATACGGCCTACCATTGTCTTTTGGCCAGCTGCTTGTAAAATAAACAAGAAATTACATGGCACTGATAAGATGACAAGACAGTCAGGCATGACTGGTGTTGTAGAATAGAGGCTATTAACAGGGAGACATGAATGTGAAGAGATCGGGCTTTACAACAACAAATGCCTCTTTTGGACACAATGAGGTGTAAGGCATTGTTCTGATTAGCTGAAGACTGCCTTGTAGCTTTATGCAGTTAGTTTATCTTTAAGTTATCTGACATACACCATGCGTAAACACCACCCGTCATGTTCCAAATGTTTTCATTTGAACTGATTTTAAACTAGTGCTGAAACAATTAATCAATTAGTCGGTCGAAAATGAATTGGCAAGTATTTTGATAACAGATTGATCGATAACTAAAATAAGCATTAGTTGTAGCCCTATTACTGGTGATAATTCCAAATATATATATATATTTTATAACACGATTAATTATAGTAAGGTGAATAATGTAGCAAAAAATTTTTTGTTCCACACAGTGTCCATGGTTATTTTTCCCCTCTAGGTTTGTTAAGATATTTGCACAACTATCTCTCAGAGCAGCAGAAGGTGGACAATTCAGCCAGTTGTCCATTACTGTTACCTATATCTGTCAACTATCTGTCTTCTTACCACTGGTGAAAAGTGTGTCCTGTGCAGTCAGTCCGTTGTACCCGGTGGATTACTGTTTTTTGTGAGCACAGTATAGTAAAGATTAGAATATGTTTGTAATTTCTCTGTTTATTTTACTCCCAAACACAATTAATTATAAGCTGAGCCACCCCGAAACCTTTTCTTATGTCCCTAATTGGGCATCCAAAACTGTGCTTTCAGAGTCCAAATTATGCATGAAAAAATATATTGATTTCTGTGTATTTTTTTTGTCCAGGTGATAATCCTTGAGGATTACGCAGATCCCTTTGATGCTCAGAAGACCAGAGAGCAAAGGCAGGCAGAGAGGGTTGGGGAGAACGATGGTTATATGGAGCCTTACGATGCCCAGCAGATGATTACTGGTAAGGCTTCCATCAATATACTCTCACTGCCTCTTTTGTAGCTGTCGGCTTTTAGCGGTCGGCACACTCCCTGATCACTGAATCTGTACAGCTGCGTTCGACCACGTAGCCTCTGTGTGAACGACAGCATTCCCATTTTCAGTCTCTGCAGGCCGAACAGTGAGAACATGAACTCACTCCCAGTGCTCTCTGTACCCCACGGGGTGGCCATGGCAACCACGTTGCGTTCGGACAATGGGTGCAGTTTCCTGCCCCTGCTTCCTCTTTCCTGTCTCTGTTTCCTGGTGCTATTCTCTAGAAAGGAAGTTGGCCTTCAGTGCCCCCCACCTCCTCTTGGACGCAACTCTGTGTAACCCCCTATATGGACCTGTCTGACCATTTATCAAAACTTCCCAGCATCTAGGAAGACTGGTGGTCCGTTGTCCAATCACATGCTCTCTTGACCTTTCATTCCATCTCTCCATTGTTTTAACTAAAAGGGTTACACAATAGCCTGCTGTGAATGTGAAAATGTTTTGCTCTCTAGTAGACTTTACTTCAATCATTGCCTGTGCTACTTCCAGGCCACCTCAAAGAAGTCTAC